ATTTTATGTAGCTCAGCTGTGGATGACTCCACCAGGAAACTGGTCCATGGCTGATGAGAGTGAGTTAGGGGTTGTCAGACACAAGAGACAACCACATTTTCTTTGGGGCTGGCTGCTCTGAAGACAAGGATAGGTGCTAGTTCTTGGCAAAGAGCCTGGAAACCCCAGAGCCAGAATGTGTGTCCAACTGGGGGGTGTTTACCTCCTTTACCTGAGAAGACACTTCAGAGAAAGGCGGCTGCTATTATCTGTGCTTGAGGGTAGAGGAAACTTCCCAGCCCACGTAACCTTGTCTTCCCTCCAGGTTATGCACCACAGCCTGATCAAGTTTTCCTGGCTCTAGCCATCCTGTAGCAGGAAAGTAATCCTGAATCAGTCATTCCAGATTGGACCCTTGCTTGCAGTGATGTGTGGCAGGACCGTCTGTGTGGGCTATGTGAAGCAGGAGCTACCTGCCTCGGGTGTTTGCTCTAGGGTGTGTTTATGTAGCTGAGGTGTTTGCAGGGGACCTGAGGTGGAGCATGCTAGAAAAGCCCACGTCATGCAAGTGCAGGTGGCCTGGGGATGGTTGTTGCAGTGGGCAATGAGTACAGTTCGTGTGTCCTGGCCATTGCAGGCTTGACACGTATAGAAGTGAGGCAGTCTACAGGAATGGGGTGGGTGGGAGCTTTTTGGGCGAAAACCATGAGTTGAGCCATCTTCATGGTGATCCCTGAAGCAGGAGAATGGCTGTTGAAGAACGCTAGACATAACTATCAAAAGGCTACCAGTCTGACTGGGGTTGGGGAGGATGGGAATGGGATGGCATGACTTTGTATTCTGTGCTAAAGAAAAAACTTCAAAGTTTTTCCCCCCAGAGATGAGGGTCTGATAGGGCCCACTTACTTTGTTGGCCATAGCAGCATGTTTATGCTGTGCCCTGCTGCTGGCACACGTGCAGACAGAGAAGTATTGCCAGGGCAGGAATACCAGTTCCGTGTCTAAAAAGAACCGGGACAAAACCAGCTCAAGTTAATGCTCCCTCCTTATTTTCCATACTTTTCCCCTCCCGCCCTTGGTTCCTTTCCTCTGCTTGCCAAGATTGTACTTAATGGTAAAGCTCTTGGGTCTCTTGTAAGAGCCTTCTTTGTGGAGCTCACCTGATGTCACACACCACAGACACCTGGAGAGGTGGGCTGTGGGGTAACTGGTGGGCTGTGGCAACAGGAGATGACCGTGTGGCAGTGAGACTGAACTGTGTGGGTATGATACCTACCCCCAAGACTTGAGAATTCCCTTCTGTTAACTGCAGGCATGATCTTCCTCTGCTCCACTGCTGATGGATGTTCCGGTGTCCAAGTGGAGAATCCAGATTACTATTTTTTCCCCCCTTTTAAATAAGAACATTTTTACTGAACTTGTGGCATAAACTCAATTGCTTTGTCGCTGAGGCTTTTGGAATGTTTCTTCAAGCAGGGCTTTTGATAATTGTCTGGTGTGTTTTTCAGAGCACAACTGTTTTGTTATCTGCCTTCTCTGAAAATGGAGTCCAAGTCTGTCAGGCAATCAGGATGAATTTTTACAGCTGCCAGAGCAGAACTGTCAAATGCTTTACACCCTTTCTGGCTTAAACCAGGGGAGAGAATTGGTTTA